AATGTAATTACATCAATTTGTTTATTTTACAAAATGTGCTTGGTATTTTCACACGCTTTCGAGCAAATTTGGAGTCTTTTTTTGGCGTCGGTCGTGTGGACTAATTAAGTGAAAATATTTACTCAAGCCACATGTCCTCAACCCACCTTAACTTTGCCTTTTTAAACGCTTTCAAAATGCTTGGCTCCTGCTCTCGGGTGGTTTTCATTTTATGTCGTGTAAATACAAATTAAAACGCTCTCACTTTTCGCCTCCACATTTTTTGTTTGGCTAAAACTTTTTAAGCGTGTCTTTGTTGAGCGTGTTTAATTTTTAAAGACTTTGGTTTAACTGTGTGGTGTTTAGGAATCATTGAGTTAATGCGTTGAAAGTTGGATGTCTGAATTTGGTTTTGTAAATGTGTTGCAAAGCTATATAGGTTTTTATAAGGATTAAATGAAGTTGTTGTATAATATAATATGTGTGTTTTAAGTAAGGGTCTTAAAATAAAGTTTATTTTTAGATCTAACAAATTGAACAAAAATTTCAAAACAAAAAATTTTGGCATTATTACTCATAAAATATTATTAACTTCTCTTAGAGTAACTAACGTAACTAGCATAAACGTTTTAAGCTCTAAACTTTACTGCTACTATAAAAATTGCTTAGTTTCGGTCGTTAAATCAAAGCTAGTAACAAAAACAGAATAACACTAGCGCTAAAAATAATGCCATAAAATCTCCAAAGCCAGCGATTTAATCAAATGTCAAATTAGGGTGGCTCAAATAGTCGAATAAGTGACAGTTACAAAGCGCCCTGAATTGAGTATGAAACAAACTAATCATGTATGCCAAAAGAGAAAATAAAGGTTCTAGCAGGAAAACAACCGATCAATAAATGCATGTGCAGTGGAAAAAGTAAGAGTCAGAAGTTTATGAGCAAACCAGGACAAAGGACCAAGGTAAAGGCTAGGACCCACGAAAAGGGACAGGGCACTAAGCCAGAAAGAGATCGGAATACAAAACCGAAAGAGACAGCCAAAAGGTAAGTTGACTTACTCCCAATTGGTATTGGCATATTGGCCAGACTTTTCAAACGCCAAAGTGGATTGCCTCTTGATTAATTAAAAGCTCTTTGATGCCCTTCCTTGTGTGCGTTCCTTTTCCTCCTGCATATGCACTCCTATATCCCCCACTATATCCCCTACTATATCACCCCACAACCCCTCCAATATCCACGACTACATACACCCATTCTGCTCCTTTTTAGCCATGTGTGGGTTTGCTATTGACAAAAGTCTTTGGCAGCAGTCAAGGACTGCCTACACACAGGGTTACGTTAAAACTGGGGGTAGATTTGTATAGCTTAATCATATAGATGTCTTATATTTAAATACATATAAATTTTAAGAAGAAATGTAAGTACAATTAATTTCTAAGTTTCAACTTATTGGATATAATATTTTGATAATTAATATCCTAAAAAATAATTTTAATAATTTATGATATAAATGGCTTTTGAATTTTAAGACATTTTTTCTTTTTCCGGTTTTCCCAATCCAAATTCCATTCAAATCATATATTTTCTTGACTTCATGTGTTAACCTATAATCCTGGCCCCCACAAAGTGTCCTCTAAGTCCTATGCAAAATGTGTGCCAATTTGTGTGTTTGTACTTTGAGTCCTTTGCTAATGGTTTGTCTGCTCCTTCCTTTAGAATTTGCGTAGCAAAGCGTAAATCAATTGCATGCCAAAAGGAGCAAGGGATGAAGCCAAAAGAACGGTTTCAACACTAGAAAACAACTAAAGCTAATTGCTTTCGAGTTAGCCCACCATCCCAAAATTTCGTAAAATTCAAGAACTAATCTAAAACTAAATATTGACATCTGATAATCGTTGGAGCAAGGAAATGGGACCAAAAAGTCTAATAAAGCAATAAAAATAGGAAGCCCCATGAGCTTCATACATGCAAATATACCAATGAGATGGCGTGACCAGATCTCGCATGAGAATCTATATAAACACGAACATGAATGGGAACCAAAGTGGGCTTACATCGAGGATTGAACATGGTTTGGAAACATGGAGCTAACGGTGGAAAAGCAGTAATCTGGACTAGGCTGTGTTTATATCTTTATTTAAGTAAATTTTAGTAGCAGTAGCTCAGGTGAATTGAATCTATGGATTAAGAGGACTTGGATAGGGTGTACAAATATTTTTTTTCAATATTTTTCTTTTACAAAACAAAAAATTTAATTATACAATTTGTAATATTCAGCAGCTAGTAACATCATTTAATCAAATATAATAATATTTCACCTACCCACATCATTATTGTGTCTTCTTGCAATTAACTGTCATATTAAACCATCCTTGCTGACACACAGAAAATCCCTTTATCCAACCCACTTTGCGGAGAGGCTTCAAATGGCCAACTCATTTTAGCCACTATCAATTCAAGACATTCCCGAACCAAAACAAAAGCCTCCACACACAATTCTAGCCATCATTAACATGAGCAAGCCGACGACTAGTTATAAAGACCTGTTGTACCTTCAGAATGCACTACAACAAAATACATATTCCGAAATATTTTTATAAAAATAATTGAAAATAAATGAAACGATTACGGTCAGGCTAAAAAGTTTGCTTTATTTAAAAAAAAATTCTTATCCTTTTCGTCATTAAAAGTCGTAAAATAAGATATTTTTCGGTTCAGTTAAAAAAAATTTTTTTTTAATTTAAAAAATTTGTAATTTTTTTTCTCAGTGTACGATGCAGAATAGTGGAAGTGCAAAACCGGTTAACTGGCTGGGAGAATTGGCGGGGAAGACAAGCAGATATCGAGGCCTAATGGCGCCAACGACGATTACTGAAAACATAGACATTAAATGCAGAGGAAGTGACATTAATTGCATTGATTTAGCGGGCCCTACAGCCCGGCTAACTGATAAAAGTTGTCTGGCTCCATTATTGGGCTGCCTCCAAAGGCCAATCGACGAACAATTTCCGGGGCATGGTTTCGATGAGGAGGCGGGGGGAGAATGGGGATGCTGAAAGTGAGCTGACCATTTTCATGGAACGGTCATTACGCACTCATTGCGTATGCACTTCCAATTATTTGAAATTGTTGCTAATGAGAAATTAATTTGCAAAATGCTAATCAAGCGGTGGCAGTTGGTCGTCGGTCAGATAGATCTCCATTCTAATTCCAACAAATTGCAAATGAAGCATTGCCAACGGATCGAAGTGATTTAATTAAGACGGCCAGCCAGTCGCACGAGTTTCGGAATTTTAACATCGAGTCGGTTCCAACTCTAATGCGGATTTAATTGTTTCAACTCAGACCGGGCAATTTAAAAATCGAATTGTAATTAGAGCATTTCAGAGAAAACCTTGGCAGTACTTTACGCCGAATGAAAGCAAAGCTATTCTGTAAGTTTTAATACAATTTAATAAATGTACATTCATAAAATAATTATATCGTTTGAGCCTTACATTTTTAAAAATTTTACATACAACATTATATATTAAAAAACATTACCATACAAAATATTAACCACTGAAATATTTTAATTGATTCAATTTTTCATATTCATTATTGTCTTATTTTGATCAGAGTATTGAGTTTCAAAAAGAGGAAGTGGCTTACAACATGTTGATACAAACACTATTATTAGCAAAATAGCGATAAATAAGTATCGCGCAATAAATACGTCAGCGGTTCAGACAATTGGGGCGTGTGCAACATTAATCAAATCTTCAGGTAGGTGAATCTCACCTGCTGCAAGCCGTCTTTATACTATTTTTCTCCTTTTATTTTTGGAAGCATTCGGAATTTCAATTGGCCACCGGACGAATGCAACTGTACTCGCAGCAAGAGTGTGTAATTGCATTGCCCGATTGATTAATTTTGATTGATTAATGGTGTTTAAAGTGCGTGCGTGCCGGCAATCAGCTGTCATTTACCCAGCGAAATACGGAGGTGCGATTTCTGAAAGGTAAACATAAACAATTTGGAGTCGGAAGCGAAATTTGAATAGCACCCACTTTTCGCGCCTTTGCCTTTCGGGATTCCAAATGTGACTGATAGCTGGACAAAAGCATATTGCCATAGAACCTGAATAGTATTATTTTGATAAACAATTTAACTAATATAAAAGAAAATAAAATACATTACAGATTTTGAACTTAAATTAAAGTCGAACGAATTGTTGGATATATTTTCATCTTTCGAGCCACAAACTCCAAATAATTTAAATTTTTTTGACGCATTTATAACCTAAAGATACTTTGCTCTTCTTCTTTTAAGTTTGGTTCTTGTAATTCATCTTAGCCAATTAGTCCAATATAAACAAGAAAAGACAATAATTGTGTAGCGCCGTTCTGGTTTGGCCCATGGTACTTCAAATAGCTTAGTTTCAAACCTTCTGTTTTTTTAGCCTAGACAAGCACTCAATACATGTGTTACTTTATTTTCACGCCCAACGAATACGGTCATACAAATCAATCAAGCAAAATATTTAAATAATAATGAGCATATTTTATATTATGGAACGTTACGAGGTGTGTATCTTGTTCAATCTCACGTAATTTCAATAAATTAATTTAATAGTAAGTAATAGTAATAAGAATTGTAATAAAAAAGAGAAAAACAAGTTATTTACTGGGATAATACAAGTTACTCGATTTTTACGTAATATAACTCAAAAACATCAGTGTTTTATTTGCAGTAAACTTGTTTTCGATTTGTTTAATTTGAACTCAAGTAAATATTTGCTCGTGTAGTGATGGCTTAATGTCAGTTGCAGAAAAATACTATTATTATAAAATCAGCAGGAATATATTTCGTATGCATTTAAAACAAAAACAATTCAAAATATAAGAATATTTTAAGACCTTTATTGGTGTTTTCAAGATGTTAAATCACCTGACTTCAAAGTAAACAAACACTCCGCACACCTGCTAAATTTGGTATTATTCAGTCTTAAGACCTCCGGTAACACTAAATTATTGCCAAAAAAAAATGCGCATAAAAACAAGTAAATCTGTTGAAAAACTATAATAACTAGCGAAACAGAATATCGAAAATGTCTGTGCTGCGATTCCTGGTGACCCGCCAGGCGTTGGCTGCTCTGTCGCGGCCAAGGACCTTCAATATACTCCAAAAACCAGCGCCAATCGCCTTGGCCTCCACTTTGTGCAACCAAAATAACCATCAGGATCTGACCAAATCGAGTACCAATTTAAGTCTGACGCAAATAAGAGGCCATAAGCGATTTGGCCATCAGGAGGAAAAGACTCCAAATGTCACTAAGTACTTCCACATGTTCATCCTGAGTTTGTTCCTCATTTCGGTTATGGATTGGGGCAAGTGAGTGGACCAACGAATAAAGTGTTATTCGCAGACATAATTTTGGATTCTATTTTTAGAGTGAAGCGCCTGCTAATGCCAAAAGTGGACGCCGATGCTGGACAACAACCCTCCTCGGCTGCCGGCGTTAATGGCGAGGAAAAGTCATCCGATTCCGAGTCGGAGGATGGCGAGGACGAGGATGGTGGCCAGGATCTGCACCTGCACGAGGGCAAGAAGATCCGCGAGAAAGTCGGTTTCCGCGAGAGGAAGGTATAAAGCTGCTTGACGACGCTATAAAACTCAGCTTCTATAACTCTGTAAAAATTCTATTTACTTGCGGTTTTGTTCCGGTTTTTCCAGTCTTTTAGTTGATTCGCCTAGTTTATCTTAAAACCAAGTCATTCTTTTGTATAAAATTATTGTTTCTATATCATTCAAAGTTAAGTTTTTATATTTTTTATATGTTTTTCTATGATTTAGTTTTATTATTTTTGCTTAATAATCCAAAGTATATCCCTATTCGTTGATTTTATTGACTTAAAGTAAAAAGTTAATAAATTTTCAATTTAAGATTGTGAAAACCGGAGCGAAACCTTTAACATCTTATTTTAATATATTTTTAAATTTCTTCTATTACGTTGAAAACTCTTCGTTTCTTTTATTTTTATGTTTGTGACGTCTTGTTTTTGACCCATCATTGAACACAAAAACACACAACCACGAAGATCATTGAGTACGAAAACCGCATCCGTCAGTTTTCCACTCCCGACAAGATTTTCCGGTACTTTGCCACCGTAAGATTACAGGATGCCACACAAACGATCGTCTGTATGACTCCCGAGGATTTCCTACGCTCCATATATCCGGGAATCAAGCAGCCCGATGGTAATTCACTCATGCAGAAGCCCATGTCCAGATTTAAATTTAGTTTTTTGATATATTTCGGTTAGCTTTACTTTTTTTTCTTAGTCTCAGTTTAGAAAAGTTAATTTTGTTTGTTTTTTCAATTACCTGCCACTTTCGTAAGCTAAAGTCATGTCGTTTGCCTTAGATAATTGAGTACGAGAACCGTATTCGGCAGTTCTCCACGCCGGACAAAGTTTTTCGCTACTTTGCCACCATCCAGGTGCCCGTGGCTGATGATCGTCATGAAGTCTACATGACTCCGACCGATTTTTTAACCAGCATGACGCCCGGCATGAAGCAACCAGATGGTATGTGACAGGGAGTAGAATAGGGTACATCTATAGAAAATCCTTAGTTGTATTTATATGAATAGGGAAAAATTTTCCCGTAATAATGGTAATTTCTTTTAGGATTGGGACTGGACCAATATCGCCGCTATGATCCTAAGGTAAGAATTGAATAAATATATACCTTACTCATGTAATTTAGTGTGAAATCTTTTTAATAAACTTTTTTTGTTTTAGTCTGTTGGCGAGCAGTTAAATCTCCATCTGGAAAAGAACAGCATTTTTTACAAGCTGGGTTCCTTTGGACTGATTACATTTTCGGACTACATTTTCCTGCTCACGGTACTATCAAGTAAGTAAAAAGTAATGCCTTCAATAGGGACCTAATTAACGGATTTTCTTTAAAGTTTCCCGTCGCCACTTTGAGATTGCCTTCCGAATGTTTGATTTGAATGGGGACGGCGATGTTGATTGCGAGGAATTCGAAATGGTGGCCACTTTGGTGAGACAACAAACCAGCATGGGAACCCGACATCGCGATCACGCTAATACAGGAAACACCTTTAAGGTAATAAAACTCAGTTCGCCTAGATAAATATGAAAAAGAGAGTACCTCGAGCCGTACTAAAAACGATTCCTTTTTGTATATTTGTATATTCTCTGTCTTTTGGCTTTGACCCTATATATTGAACGCGTGTCTAAACTGTGTACATATCAAATCTTAACTTCCCTCTGTTTTTGACGTACTTACAGTCCTTGAAGGTACTTTGTGTGATAATGCTTATTGAACCTATTTTGCCCTTTCGAATTTCTTTTGACACATTTAAACACAATCGCACCAAACTAAAAATAAATCATTTTTAAGTAGGAAATCCACCAATGCACCTGCTCCCAGCACACAAGTTAAACCTTTTGATGTCTGAATACTAATCAATATGAAATACTAATTACATCGTTTTTAATCGTTTCCTTAGGGTGTAAATTCGGCTTTAATCACATATTTCTTTGGTCCCAATATGGATGAAAAGCTGACGATTGAAAAGTTCCTGGACTTCCAGGAGCAACTGCAAAAGGAGATTCTTTCCCTCGAGTTTGAAAGGAAAGAACCCAATGAAGATGGAAATATAACAGAAGCAGATTTTGCAGAACTTCTTTTGGCCTACGCTGGATATCCTTTGAAAAAGAAGCAAAAGAAATTAAAGAGAGTGAAGAGGAGATTCAGGGATCATGGCAAAGGCATTTCTAAACAGGACTATCTAGATTTCTTCCATTTCCTGAACAACGTCAACGACGTGGACACTGCCTTGACTTTTTATCACATTGCCGGTGCCTCGATTGATCAGCAAACTCTGCAGCATGTGGCCAAAACGGTGGCTATGGTGAATCTTTCGGATCATGTCGTCGATGTAGTCTTCACCATCTTTGATGAAAACAGTAAGTTAATTATTAAATTCCAAAATATATTTTCATTTTCCCCCTCTTTTTTAGATGACAACCAACTTAGCAACAAGGAGTTTATTTCGGTGATGAAAAATCGTGTGCAGCGTGGTTTGGAGAAACCCAAAGACACTGGATTCCTAAAAATGATGCGATCGGTGTTCAAGTGCGCCAAGGAAACAAAGCCCGTTCTGCTGGATATCTAAAAATCGCAACACTATGGATTCTCCCGCTCCAAGCGCCCCAATCTTAGTCATTTTTCCTACGCTTACGCTTCTTACTATTTATTTTTGTAGTTAACGTTTACATAAATCGATTTTAGCTCAATCTCTTTAACTGTTTGACACCCAAGCCGTTTTTTCAGATAAGATGAATTGCTTTTGTATATTTCACCGACTCTTGTGCACTTAATACGTTAATTTTTTAATAAAAATATATATCATAATATTTATAAATAAATACAATTGATAATGCTCTGTTTATTAGGAGCGTAACGTTCAGTTCTGTAAGTTTTCATGATGTATATGGCGCGTGATTATCATTACTTTTTAAAATTTGTCTTTCAGGTTTTCATTCTTAGTTTTTTAATAAGACTTATGTAAAATGCCGCAAAAAAGGCTGAATTAGTGTGGAAAATAAATTAATGATTGTTTAAAACATCATATATAATTGGAAATATTCCTTCAATATTATTGGTGGGGAATGTTCTGATGATGCTTAAGGACTTAAAGCCATATTTGCTGAAGGATATGTAATCCTTACTTCCTTATTATATACATATTTTGATCGAGAATTCATAATTCTCAATTAACGCTTTCCAAGAAAATCTTATGGCCTAACATTTAATCAATAAACTGTCCCTTTAATTAGGCCACATCCACGTCCTCCTGCTCCTCGTCCGCCACATCATCCACACTCATTCCGTACAATTCCAAGTCGTGCTGTTTAAGATGCGCAGTATAAGCATCTAACTCCGTGAATCTCTGCTGACACTCGCAGCATTCCAGACAATCTTCTACAGAACTCTCGCCATCATCATCACTTTCGTAAGTGGACGATTTTTGGCTACTCAGTTGCTCCAGATGGCTGGTTTTGTGATCAGCATAGTCCAGATAGTCCCTAAATTTGGAGGGACACCTCAGACACTTGTACCAGCGATCTCTAACATGAGTGACCATGTGTTTTTTGAGCGTGGAACACTCTCTAAAGGGTTTCCTGCACTTGGAGCAGCTAAAGGGCTTTTCTCCAGTATGAATCATATAGTGGCGTTTAAGATTGTGACGTGTCCCGAAAGGTCGATGACATAAAGGGCAGGGATACGATCTGCGACTGCGATTTATAGGCTTTCCAGATATATTTCCATCATTGCTCAGGGAAGATGAGGAGTTGGCACTACTGCAACTACGAGGAAGCGGCGGTCGACTTGGCTGTGTGGCTTGAGGAACCTTTTCCGGTAGAGATTGAATGGGTGGTATTAATGTAACCATCAAAGTTGGCGGTGGTGCTACTCTTAGTGGCTGCTCCTCTTCTTCTGGTTCCTCCTCTTCCTCGAGATCCTCCTCGTCTTCTTCCATCTCATCTGCTTGCTCCTCAGCAGCTATTCCGCCCAATTCTTCTGGCTGAGGCTTTACCATGAGATTCTTGCTCTCACAGTCCGCACACCTAGTGGAATCCTGCTCCAAAGGTTCGCCCATGTGACAGATCATGCAGATGAATCGAGGATCATGTGAGTGTCTCCGACGATGCTTTTTCAGATCACTAAACTCCCGAAAACGACGCTCGCATAGATCGCATGGGAAAGGTCGCTCTCCTAGTAAAAGAGAAATAAAATAAGTTCAATTGACATATTTATAATAATGGCATAATTGATATTTCTTACCTGTATGTATCATCATGTGACGTCTGAGATTGTAATTAGATTGCACTTTCTTCCCGCAGTCAGGACATTCGTACAGATGGCGTCCTCTTCTATTTACATATGGACGCCTCTTCGCTGATCTCCTTGAGTTAGAAGATTTCTTCCTGATCACAAGTTCAGACTCATGTTGCTCTTCTGGATCGGAGTGCACGATGATCACCTGATCCTGGGGAATTTGATTTTGGGTTTCTTTGTGTTTCTTCTCGTTTAAGACACAACGAACTGCATTTGACGGAAGATTCACCTCTTCTTCGCATTCGCTAATTGGATCCTGATCACTGTCGCTTAGCTCGATTTCCGCTACAATCCGATGCTCTTGTCTGGGAATGAGTTCAATATCCGGGGATATCCTTTTTATTGAAGAATTCCAATGCGCTAAGCTCCTAGCTGCGCTGATGATCAAACCCTTAGGGGATGGAACCTCGTCTTCATCCAATTCGATTACCTCTTGGTATCTTCGCGCCTCTGCCTCCCTCCTCTCCTTCTCCCTTTTCTCTTGGTCCTTGATCCTTTTCATTTCCAACTCCTTTTCCTGCTGCTGCTGCCCGATTCTCCAGAGAAATCCTTTAATTTTCACATCATCTATTGAGACAAAGTTCTCTTCGGGTTCCTGGTATTCGTATCTGACAGGATCTGGGGGGATTAGTCCACAACTGGCTTCGCAGCTGGCGTCGCAGCACGCAGCGGCAGAGCAACATGCCATTAGAGGACAGTCTTTGCAGCAGTCTACGCAGGACGATGACTTATTCATAGACACCTCCATCACGTCCGCAATCTTACTAAAATATAAAATTTTTATAAGCCTTCGTTTCTTTATTGAACTTTATAGATCCTTGAAAATGGTACTATTTAGATTCTAATCCAATCAAATCCTTAATCTATTTGAAGACATCCTTGGAAATAGAAAAGTTATTGCCTTTTTAATTTGGATGCTGAAGATTTGGATTTCCGAAATGGAGCTTACTTATAAATCTTCTCTTCTTCATAAATTGAAAATAAGGTAGAATATTTCAATCTATTTAGGGCGGAATTGGGATTTGCATTTTTAGAAACAACATTTACTTTAATAACAAAATCTTTAAAATAGCTATACAAAATAGATCGTCAGATTACATTAATTTTTTTTCGGTGTACAACTCTAAGCGATTTCGTAGTTCATAGACAATTGAACCATATTGAAATAAACTCATTATGATCCTGGCGTATACGAACCATATGATCAGCAAGGAGATTCCGATTCAATGAATTCTTCAGCAATCTACAAGCTCCTCTCTCTTCCCGAAGCTCCACTCCTTTTCTTTATTTTATCCGCAATTTCAGCGCTCGGCGATGGCGTCTGCCGTGCGAAGAAGTGAAGAAGAAACTGGATTCGCGATTCGCGATTTGCGGCTTGCCGAGCAGCAACCTCTCGGCAAAAACAACAAATCGCCGCAAAAGTCGAGCTTCAGTCGACGTTGACGCTGGCAGCGCTGCTCGGTCTGTGAATCAGCGAAGCGAGCAGAGCAGCAGCAACAACAACAACAACAGCAACGTGAGCTGCGCTTAAGGCTTTTATTTCGGTACACGAACGTGAGCCTTAACCCACAGCAATGCCCCCCTCCCCCCTCATTTGCGTGCTAACTTGATTTTTCTTCGGGCCACGCAAAAGCGAAGTACGAAAAACAAAGAAAATGCCCCAACAACAAAGGCAATAACAAAAACAATTATAGCCAGAGCAACAGGCGCAGCAGCAACAACAACAGCCCACGATTTTTAAGATTGCTCAGTGGAACATGGGCGCTGGCAGGATTTGAGAGAGGGGGTAAGGAATACAGGACTAAGGTCTAGGAAAAGCAAAAAAATATAAATTTTATTAGTGAAATTTTCCATGAAAGAGATGATCGCATTGTAATAAACTTTTTTTTGGCCCAGTTTCATTACGTTAATATTTACATTGAAAATAAATAAATTAAATTTAAATACTTTGATGGGGCAGCTAGCCCCCTTGAACATACATAGTTACCTACGCCCTTGCAGAGAGGCGGAAAGAGAGCTAGGGAAAGAGGTGGAGAAGGCGGTGGGGCAGCAGAGAGTGGGCGAGTTGGAGTAGGGAAGCGTGGAGAGAGCTCGGCGGGCGGGGGATGGGAGGTGCAGCGAAAAAGGGAGCAGCGTGACCAAAGCGTAAAAAGCTACAACAACAAGAGCAGGAGAAACAACAACAACAACTACCGAGGAGCAACTACTGAGAGCAGAGACGCCAAAGCCGACGCCAACGCCAACGTCGACGTCAAAAAAAAAAAGTTTTATTGACGTCCGAGCAGCAGTGCTATAGTAAAACCGTGCGCCTTCATTTTTTTTATTCGCAGTTGCCTTTCTTCTTTTTTCTAGCTTTGTTGTTGGTTTCCTTTTTATATACTTGTATATGTACATATTTTTCAGTAATTGACTTAATTATTGACCGTTTCTTCGGTCATTCTCCATTTTCAGACTGAGCTTCTTTTAATTGTTTAAGTCTAAAGGTCTGAAAGCCCTACGATCGTTTTTCAGAATAGCGGGAAATGGTTTATTAAGGTTAATAAAAGGTATAAAAGGTATAATAAAAAGATTCCAATATTTTCTCAACTTCGCAGGATACAATTCTTCCGTGCAATGTAGTAAATTATTAAAATTCTTAAGAAGCAATTTTCTGACGAAAGATACAAATTTTTCCGTTATCCATTGTTTTTTTCAGTAACCAAATTAGTTAACAATTTGTAAGATCATGAATCGTAGGTAAATATTAAAGTTACGGAATAAACTTTTTACGCTTTAGGACTATTAAAATTAAGATAGCCAATTCGAATAATAATTTTAATGACATAGTGTTTAAACAAAGCAAATTTTTTTTCTACTTAGTGTAATTTACACTTTTCAATATTATAAAGAACGGTTAAGGAAATTAATAAATTTGGTCTTTCTAAGCGCAGTTTTCTAATCCACATGTTAAGCTTAAATACATATGTTAAATCTAGAAAAATTAATGAAACCTACTTTGTCATCCGAACGAGATAAATATTCCAAATTCCTTTGTTACTTCTTTTGGATTATTACTCGGATATATCTATTGTTTATTTCAGAACTCTGTCTCACTTGACGGAATTTTTCAGGGCTAGGATAGCGTGATTTATTGTAATTCGTATGCCATCGGCGTGGGTATATAAATTCTGCCCCCGCCTGGCCACCGAGTCAGATCCCCAGATCCGCTTTAAATGCTTGGCTAGGCTCCCGTTTGGTGTCTCGGTCTCGGAATATTGCCGATCGTGACTGCACCGCTTACTTATTTTTTCGCTATAAAACTCGTTTATATCGAATCCGCACACACGTCCAGTCGCATGAAGTCGACAACAAACGCCCACTCGACTTGGTCCGTGTGGAATCGGTTTATCGGTCTCGGTCTCTGGCTTTGCCCCTGGGGAATTGGCGTCCGTGTTCGAGGTACGAGCATGTACATTATATCCTCTCTGTGTGGGGAACCAGTATATTGGTGTTTGCGTTTGGGGAGCAATGCTCGGCATCTCGGAGCTGTCTGAAGTCCCCAGGTGTTCGAACTTTTCGGTGCGTGTGTATGCATATATGGATGGATACTTACTCGCGCTTGCAGGTGCTTTATATAGCTTGGAAATACTCGCACGATATCGTGCTCGGCGAAGTTGTTCTACACTCCATGTGTTCTCACAATAGTAATCATTATTATACACTTTTTCATTAAGTTCACATTCCATTACTTTTAGCGACACACTATTTTCTAGGTGTAGTATTTATATAAAAATGTATATATATATTTACACATCTAAATATTCCTTTATCGAGACCAATAAGGATGCAGCAGAACTTATGAAAATGAGATCAGAACCGGATTTGGATTTTCTTCTTGTGAAATCACTTGTTGACCATAATGAATTATTTAATGGCACCGGATATGCCAGCCTGCCTTCCTTAATTTCTGTCGTTAAAAAAATATCATTGTCCCCAAAAATGTATTCCTAAAAATTTATTAAAACAAACAATTTTGATCTATTGAAAAAATTTTTAATCGGAAATTCTTTCCATCTGGATCCTTTCTAAGTATAACTTTTTTCCTGAAACTACGTAAATTCGCTTACGATAATTATAATCGAATCGTAAACCTATATAATATATGCGAATATATATTGATCAGTTTCTTTTAAGGGATACGCGCAGATATCCGCGATTAATTGGATCACATTATAGGCAATATAATGCTGGATTATACATATAGGCATAGAGGAAACATATTTGGCAAAATTGGGTTTTCGTTAGGTTAAATCTAGGGTGAGGTGGCGACTACTAACAAAACTAAAGTAACCATAAATATATGGGCGTACTAACTTTTACTTAGAAAAAAAAAACTATTGGTAAATCGAAACATTGGAAATGAAGAACATAATATAACACAAAGAGCGGAGAAAATAACTCTGGCTATATATAATAAACCTTATGCTAACATATTAAAAACGAATGTTTGCTAGGGGTGAAAGGGCGTGTGAGTGTGTTTTGCGATAAATGATATGCAAGATGGTTTAGAACTTCAGACAAACAACTTAACTATGTACATCAAAGCTACGGTCTAATATATAGCAAGTCAGGGGATCAAATGAAACCCCCAACTGAAGCGTGTGATTGGGTATTTTGGGTCGATTTTTTGTTTACAAAAATCCTAGTACCGCTATTTTATCTTTGGTCTTTTTCAGGAAACTTTGCTTTGAATACTAAAAGAAATAAATATAAATGAGGTTTTAACAGATTCAAATTCTTTTAAATTAATTAGTAATAAATATTGCTTGTGGGTGTGTTTTCACACTTAGTTCCTACACTCCTAAGTTTACTTTTTTGAAATATAATTTAACCATAAGAAAATTTGCGTTAAGGTCTATTAGAATTATTGAAAATGTACAACTTTAAAAGAATCTAGCTATTTTTGATCAAGTGTTTCTTGGAAGACAAGAGGCATGGATATTTGTTAGATTTTTTTAACCCGTTGGTACTCATATATAGTTCATAAAGAATTCAAAGCAAATCACTTAAAATTAACCAAAGATTAATTTTTGGAGCCTGAGATTGTTACATTAATTTAGCATCCCCAAAATCGACCCCTAAGCTAAGCTAAACTGCGTATGTTTCCACGCGTTTCTTAAAGCTTTGGCGGCACATCTTTGCTGGTGGCTCCCGATCTCTCGTGATTGACGACAAACTTCTTGGCGCCCGACAATCCCTGCTTGTTGATATAGAAGCTCTTCTGTGCAAGCGGGGAACCCCCGCCATCTGAATCCACGACAAGGCGATTCAGAAAAGTGGCAGCTGTTTTGGCACCACTGTCGCAGGAGGACGACTCTATGCTGATGGTGGAACATCCACCGATCGAGGAGGTCTCGCTTTTGGCATCGTCCATTAGAGTGGCATCATCCACCAAATCGTTGACCAGCACCTGAGTGCTGGAGGATGCGGTGGACAGGATGGAGGAGGTGCGACTGCGGCAGGAGGAGTGCGACTCCGATTCGGGTATCGAGATTCCCTCGTCGATACTTTGACTCTGGCTGCCGCCGGAAACAAGGCACATGGCCGCCTCCAGATTCGGCCCACTGCCCACACCTCCGGGCGAAGCGGAAACGGGTGACGGACATCCCGAGCTGCTGCTATTGTTATTGATTCCACTTCCGCTCACCGTATTATTTGTGCACAGCTTCGAGATGAACAGCTTGGGCGTAATTCGGCCATCAAAGGTTCCGGAATCGGGACTGGGACAGACCGACGACGGCGATTGACACACCGGTGAGGAGCCGCGACTGAATTGGGAAGAAAGTGATGATACATTTGAGTAAATTAATAAAATTTGTCAGATTTTATATGGGTTTTAAAATTGTTAAGAATTTATATGGTTCCTAAATGTGGCCTATATAATAAAACCCTTAGCATTTTTAAATAAATTTTACCCTTGTTGTATGTACTCAACAAGTTGCACAATTGCTTGTATATGCACTATTGAACATCTAATATAATTTAATTAATGGTTCTCGTACAACACAACTTTATAGCATTTATTTTTAGATTTATGAAGAATGTTTAGGCGGCCACACAATTAGAACACAAAGTAAATAAAATCTAAATTTATTTTTTACAAAAAGGCCCGAAGTAATATATTTTTAGCTTCTGAGAAGAATGGTATTAAAAAACTCTTTATACAAGAATTTAAATGCCCCACATAAAGAAAAATCCCTCGATGAAGAAGGTTATCAAATATTTTTTTGATAGAGGTAATTTTTATAGTAAAATATATAAAAAATAAATTAAAAATACGATAATAACTTCATCGACAAAATTGTATTTAGGTGAGTACTGCGGATCTTCAAAAATAAATGGGACGAGTATTAAAAGCTTCACGCCACTGGAAGCTTAGAACAAAAATAAAGTTTGTTATCTTATTATTTATAGGAACCCGATCAGATACTTCGCACAAAAGCATGTACTAAACTTTTATAAAGCGTGCCGTGAGTTTAATTACCCCAAAAGCCAAAGATATTGTAATTAAAATAGGCTTAAGCAAAAAATTTACGGCGAAATTAAATATTATTTTAAAAATAGATTGCATGTTCAACGGTTTAAAAAAATATTTGAATTGTATTCTATTGTATTTAAAAGTAAATATTACTTAATATCTTAGTGCAGATTTTACTGATTTTAATTGAAACTAAATTTATAGCTGATCTTATATCTCACCTTTCCGTGAATATCTTCTTCATGGGCGGAGGAGAGTAAACACTCCAGTTGCTGCCCTGCGTGGGATTATCGTCCAGTTCAAACTTCCTCTTCACGGGACCCAGCTGAGATGGTCTCATGGCGATGGGAGACATCGATCTCCTGGTGGCGAATGTTCGCCTCGTGGGCGACGGGGAATATGGTAGCCTCATGCCCGCACGATTGTTTGTGGGACTGGGACTGGAGCAACTGGTAGTGCCAGTGGGTGGCAGACTGACTTGCAGGGGGTTCGAGAACTCGTCCGATTTGCACGACCAGTTCTCGGCCACCAGAGTTAAGTCTTCCCAGCTCTGGGAGATTTGTATTTCTCGGTGAACTTCGCGCTCATGATTTACCTCCCGGCTATTCAGATCCGCGCATTCCTCTTGCCTCAGCTGGGAGACCCGGGGAGTTAGGCAAAGGGTGGCTCCATTGGCGGCAGTGGTCAAGGGACTGTAACTAGCCGAATACCTCCTTGCTCGAGGTGTGAATATGTTGAAGATGGGCGCCGGGGAAACCTCCCGGGAATTGGGCTGGGATCGTATATGTATGTTCTTGCCGAAGCAATCGATCGATGGGACATTCGGCATCTGGATATCCAGCACCTGTTGGCTCTTCTTGGGCGTCTGCTCGTGCTCCTTGGCCGCCAGAGCAGCCGCTGCAGCTGCGCGTGTCGTCATCGGTGTTTTTCCCGATTTTCCCGCCGGCGGAGTCCGGATTATGGGCACACTTAGGCAACGTTTGAGGGTCTTCGAGCTGCCACTCGGTGGCGGCGGATCCAGAGTGTCCATGGGCACTGTCGAGGGGTTTTCCTGCTGCTTCTCCTCGCCGCTGGCTTTCGTCTCCGATTCCATTGCCGTCTATCTAAAAATAAATGCTGTTTACTTCTTGGTTCCTAGGGTTATTTATATACCCTTGCAGAGGGTAGGGCTATATTAGGTAGCAGCTGTAGAGTGTTTACTTGGTGCATCCAAATTACAGTCGGGTATCTTTTGAAACTATGGATTTACTGATATTTGTACAATTTTACTATCTTGCTATTTTAAGAAACCAGCTGTAACGCATTGTTAATTGATTACGTTGAGAATAGGTACCTGTATTTATACCCGTTACTCGTAGAGTAAAAGGGTATATTAGATTCGTGCAAAAGTATGTAACAGGTAGAAGGAAGCGTTTCCGACCCTATAAACTATATATATTCTTGATCGGGATCACTAGCCGAGTCGATCTAGCCATGTCCGTCTGTCCGTCTGTCTGTCCGTCTGTCTGTCTGTCTGTCTGTCTGTCTGTCTGTCTGTATGAACGCTGAGATCTCGGAAACTATAAAAGCTAGAAGATTGACATTTTGCATGCAGATTCTAGGAGTTCCTACGCAGCGCAAGTTTGTTTCAAAAGGGTGCCACGCCCCCTCTTACGCCCACAATCGCTAATGTACGATTTTAAAAATTTCAATATTTTGGAAAAGTAGAAATGCAGTTTTATTGTGTTTATCAATACCTATCGAAATGTAGAAGAAATTTTTTAAATCGGACCATTCGTTAAAAAGTTACGACGGATCAAAGTTTTTCTCCATCTCCTTCGCACTCCCTTTAGCTGAGTAACGGGTATCTGATAGTCGGGGCACCCGACTATAGCGTTCTCTCTTGTTTTTAATTATTTTTAGTCTAGTTTGAAATTGGAAATTATAGATGACGAGCTCGGAATTTTATTAGTTATTCTTTTTAAGGTAATTATACACAAATACCTTAAATGTTTGTATCTACACTCTATGCCAGTTTATTAACCTTTAAATTTGTTCAATTGATGACGATGACAATATATACCTAATACGTTGCAGTCCAACCAAATTCGATTTAATATCGTTTTGATATTCAAACATTATTTTTGATATCATAAGAAAGTATTAATATTATATCTTCCCGGTTTGATTACAAATTGCAGATCTACGATAAGCTCTAACCATAGAAAATTGACATAACTTGTCTGATTTTAAAGATAGTATAATTAAACATCTTAAATTGCTTTCCAAAAGTGTCAGAAATATTTTCCAAAGATATAATCTTAAAAGCCAAGACTATATCCTTTATATCCTATAAGAACGATCAGTCTGCAAAATCATTCCGAGCTCCGGCGTGTTATTATAACATTGCGTTTCCGTTTCCCACAGCATTTTCCGACTTCCTAGGGTGGCAAAGAATTTCCCGATTTTCCGCAGGACTTCGGGGCGCAGCGGCAGCGCTGTCGACGTCGCTGCCAACGCGGGCAGAGCGACTGTCTACTTTTTTCACCCACAAACTGCGTGCCCATTGAGGCAACTTTTGGCAGCCACTTTTCACGCCCTAAATGTCACTAGCCCTTTGAAATAAATGCTGATTTAGCTTTGCCAAATCCTGAAGAACACTTTGCACTACCTTAAGTTGGCTTAAAACACGTGCAATTGCCCTAAAATACTTACAAAATTGTGTCCTGCGATTGTAATTTTCAGCTATACCCGTTTAGTTTTTTTATAGTGTTGGCAAACGCCTAAACTCGAGTGACCACATACACGAACAAGCGGTATGACATACCAGGCATGGCCTGAAAAATATTACAAAAATGTTATTTACTCGAGGTAAGTGAACTATGGCTAGTATTCATCTAGTGTATTATTTAAAGATAATTACGCTTAATGATTTCGTAGAATTATATCACTTGTTTTTTGTCTAATCAGCTGATGTTTGCCCTGCGGCATTTTTTTGCCTCTTGAGGCACACGTCATGCAGCTCTGCGTACAACCGCTGTTCAACACTATGCGCGCGCAATTCAAATTTACTCGCTGCTACGGCAATGGGGAAGTTGTGTTTTTATAAATTTAAAATTTATTTTTTAAGAACACTTGTAAATTAATATTTTTTCAAGTGAAAACAAATAGAATGGTTGTATTTGTTTAGAAAAAAATTAAGAAACCCCTTCAGATAGTTTTAAATTATTTGATTTATGAAAACAATTGGAATAGCAAATAAAATTTATAAGTAAATAAATAAATATAAAAAGCAGAACCCTCAAGTGCCGCATTTTATCAGCATATGACCTACGACTCGATAAAAAACAAAACCAAATTATTTCCAATTTTTTTTTTACAACGAGCTTTTGGGGAATTTGTTTCCCTAAAGACATTCAGTTTTTTTAAAAATCTGTCGTAACTGTTTCCCTTTTTTTGGTGAGATTATTTCTTATAATATTGTACTGCGTAAAAATAAAATGTATGATTTATGAAAAAATTTGAATTTTAATTCGCTGGAGGCCTTCATTAAAAATGCGATTAGAGACACATGTTACATTTATTTATTATGCGTAACTTAAAGAAAAAGAGCGATATATGAGGAACGCACTCATGCTTACAAGCTGCTCTTGTAATTTGGTTTCTTCATGGTTTGTTTTAACTTTAACAAAAATCACAAAAAATTATAATAACACAGTCGAACCAAGACATCAGACTAATTGATTCTGTAAACCTTTCGTAACTTAATAATAAGCGCTAGGCGATTGAAAATGTTTTGGAAAGTGGCTGTTCATCGTTCTTGGATTTACGTTTCTGATCAACTAATAATACTTAATTATCCATTTTTTGTATTCGACGAAATTTCCGTTTTACTGACGACTACGAGCTAGAATTACATTTTAAGCTAATTTGTTGCTTGCTGCGCGTTTTTCCTTTGTTCTTTGTGTGTGTTTCCTTGTTGTTTCCAAGAGTTCCTTCTGTTGCGTTTTGGATGGTTTGCAATTGAAATCGTTCGTTACTTGACTAAGTAGATGGAAACGCATCGAGAGAAGAGTAATGGGCATAGACGATGGCTTGATGGATTACTATGAGCAAGATTCTTGCTGGGTGGCTGAATATTAAATTGCATTGGTTGGGTGGTTGGCAAACGCAGAGCATCTGAGCTGAGTTCCCTTGCGATACGGAATCTCGTCCCTTAGCCGTCGGACAGGGCGGGCGTCACCCATCCGTACTTCTCGTGCGTCTTTACCAGCGAACGGAACGACTCCTCGGCCTGGCGACTGCAGAAGAAATAAGAATTAGTTCGTTTTGATCTTATATTTATGTATATAAAATTACCGAGTGAATTCCTTTGTACTCTTTGGCTTGCGCGTGATCCTGCCCTGACCCTTGACTACGCTGGCTGCAAACTGCATGATGACCGCCTCCACCGTATAGGCACTGGCCCATCCGCGGGGCGTTAGGAGTTCCATGCAGATGGCCCCGCCCTCCATCACGTAACCCTTCTCGATGCGCGGCTCCACCACGCGCATGAACGGCGGGGCGAAGGGGAAGTTGTCGGGGAAACTGAGGTGCAACAGGATGGCCGGCACCCCCATTTCGACCATATCCCTGGCCAAAGGCGAGTCTGGATCAATCACATGCAGGCGTACGTGCCACTCGAACAGACTGTCGCTGACGAGTTCCACCTGTAAATTAATTAATAATATAATATTAATTAATTAATAATATTAAAATTCAAAGAACCAAGATCTAAACTCACCGTGAAGACAGCATCTTTCTTTGACTGGAGGCGTTCCATTTCTCTATACTCCTTCATGAGGCGGCGGGATCGAATGGTCTGATCCGGCGCCGCCATCAGTTGGCGTCCCGTCGTCGGCGCCACCCTGAGAGTTGGATTTTAAGTTCCGCAATTAGCTCCCCATACACAAATTTCGGAATAAAATTTTTTTGGGTTTTCTTTGCTTTTTTATCTAGACTCACTTGTGATCTTGTCGTCGCCGCTTGCCTGGGGAATCCCAAACAGCCTGCTCGGCTGCCATTCGAACTACGGCATTCTTGGAGGCACCAGATGATCCCGATGAACCGCCGCCCACAGCTCCACCGCCCATTGCCCCGCCTCCTGCCGAAGAGGGAGCTGCCCCCTCGTGATTGTTATTATTGTTATTGTTCGGACTGCTGCCAGTGGCTCCATCGACCTTGTCATTGTTGTTATTATTAGAGCTATTGTTGTTGTTATTATTATTATTATTGCTGGACTTGTGGAAGATTTTGCGGAATGCAGTGACAACTCTCTCCTTGGAACGCGACGACATCTTGGTTTGGATTGGCTTGGTCTCGGATTTTGTTGTGCTTTCGACTTGGTATTTCTGAGTTATTTGAGCGGTGGCCTTTGATTCACTAGTTTACAAGTATTTTGTGGGCGTGGTGGTTCAGTCTTCTTCTTTAAATTGTTCCTGGTGCAAGGTGTGTGAATTGGTGCTGAAAATTCATAAAATAGGAAAAATATAAATATATAATAACACACTCTTTTTCATAACTTAAACGCATAGTTTTGCTGAAAAAGCAATTTAAAGTAAAGCATTTTTAAGTTTTTTCCCACTTGTAGATGAGATGATGGCATGTGTATTATAAAAAAAATGCCTACATTAACATTTTCTTGGGTCGAGCTTATAAAATTAACATACTTGTGCATGCTAAGGATGCCATTACTTGGAATTTGATTCCCTCGGAGCAATTTTCATATTTTAGTAGACCCTCCCCAACACAATTATGCGACCTTGAACTAGCGCCCGCATTCGTAAACCACACACCACAACAATAGCCGGAGATACTTTACCATGTCTAGCAGTCATAAGCACAAACACACATCCTTGGCGAACTTTTTCAAGTGAATAACAAGACCGCCAACGAAATATGTTAAATACTCTCGCCGCCCCAACGAAAACAAAACGACTCATAAAGGCGGCTTTTGGAAAAGGGAACGACATAAAAACGTATTTCGTCGCAAAAAGTTGATTCTTGTAGGGTGAAGAAGGTGGAGAATCTGCTTATAAGAAGGTCAAATCGAGATACACATGGAAAATCTATGGTTATGAGATAAGATTAAAATCTCATTTGTGACATCATATTTTACAAAAATAACAAGGAACAAGATTATTTGTATTGATATCTTAAATTTTGATAGCAGTAACAGTCAGATAATTTAAAATAATATTTTAATGAATAATATTATGATAGCATTAACTATATGGGCACTTCCAAAAAAAAGTCCACCAAGCCAAAAACCTTAAAACTTGAAAAAAACATATTTCCACATGATTTTGCCCCGATATTAGTTTCTAATTAGTTGGATACTGAGCTTAACTACAAATTTGGAGTATAGTTTGATTATTTTTATGACAAACTCCACCAATTTACGCAAAAATCAGTTTTTGGCTATTTTTTTGTTATTTTTTGGACCTGTCTTCTGTTGTTAATTTATCCTATAGGAATGCTAATATGTGACATTTTTCTGTACTGAATGCTTCATTCACATGCTAAACTATTAAGTTAAAAGCAAAACATCCAGCAATTGAGAGATAGAGGTAAAGAAATTCGCTTTACAAAACCGTCGGAAAAAATGTCCCGAGCGACATGTCCCGAGCGAATGTGGTTGAGACTGCATAAAAAAAAAACGGCAAAGAATTTTTGAGTAAAACCAAAAGCATTTCACAGCGACATGTTTGAACAACATTCTAAAAAAAATCGCAATAAAATATTCCATCAGAATTCGCTAATTTCTGGTGTTGTATGAACTTCCCCGAAATCCACTTCTATTTTTGTCCCGAGCGAATACGGCAGTTTTTTACCGATATCTTAAAAACTAAAAGCGGTACAAAATCAAGATTTTTACCAAAAAATAGAGCTTGGAAAGAGTGAAAAGAAAAGCCCATAATTAAAATTAAAATCCATTGTTTTACAATTTTTTTTCAACTTTAAATGTGTGCAAATGTCCCGAGCGACATTTTGGAAGTGCCCATATACACAGACTCATATTTTAAAATAAAATAAAATGTTTTTCTTATTTCTAAATTTGCATTTAAATCCTAAGGAAACCAAAAACGGGTCTTTTTCATTTTTGCTTTCTGTGCCGGAGCCAAAACACTCGAGGCGCCCAAGTTTTATGGCAAAAATTTACACAGCCTCCCGGGAGGCGCTTCCTCGACTCATTTCTTTTCCTGTAAGCTGTGGATGCCAAGGCAACACGCTATTATATTATTATACCACCCCATCGAGGTGTCCGAGGTGTTGACCATAGTCTCGCCAAATTGTTTGCCTTTCGCATAATTAGCTTTGACCCCAGTGCACGAGTCCTCAAAGGAGATTTCTGGGGTCACCACTGTCCTTCTGGACAGAAGCCAAGACCTGAACTCGGTTACCAAGGACAACCGATGTGGGCGTTACATTTTTATGGGCGTGGGTGCGACTAAGGGATCCTTATTATTATTATATGAGCACATTTAAGTGTGAACTAAGCTGAGAGCCAGGAGATTAGATAAAACTGTTTCAATGGAACATAGTAGAAGTGTGCCAAATACTTGGCGGCGAAAAATAAATTATTGCAATTATGTTGAACGTAATATTTATTTGAATTTTATTTATGCTTTTCATTTATTTTTTATCGGCAAAATTACCTATCTAATAATATCGGAACCACATTCGAATGGGGTTCGACACTAATTAACTTATATTACAAAAATATGCCTTGAGTTATAATTTGTTGAGGGCCTCTATTGGCTATATTAATTTGAATACTTATGGATATTCACAAAGAAAAAGCAATATCATTAGGTAAATATCACATTAACTACTATTTGTTGTAGTTTCATATTATTCCATAAAAAAAACCTGGTAACCTTACAAATTATACATTATGGTTAATGACCCTTGCTGAAGTAAGGAAATCCACTCCCTGAAACTGACCCAAAGTCTCATTAAGAGGTAATCAGGGTTCGAACTATTCCAGACATTCACCTTCCCCATTCTTTCCGTTCAGTTAAGGGCATTTCCTTCCTGCAGCTCTTAAATGCCCAACTAAAAGTATTTTTAGACGAAACTTTCTGCACTTTTGCTTTCAGCCAGGGGCATTAAAAGCCAAAATAAAAAACTGACCGAGGCCGAAACAAAGGCGCCACAGGAATCTTCTGAAAAAAGAACACCAGTGCTCACAATAGTTACTGAAAAAATGGAGAAGAAAAAAAACGCGGTGAAGTCATGTTGATGGCAGTGGGAAATGTTATCTGGCTCCCGACACACATTTCTGCAGTTCCTTCGCCATTTATTTAACCAAATAAATGTCAACAATGTTTGACATATTTTTTCATACTTGAGCGTAGACAGACTATAAAAACTAGGGTGAATCGGGTTGTCTGCAAACTACTGGGGGATGTAGAAAAATTAAATACAGAGCTGTAAGCTTGACACTGTTATTTTATTATATTCCCAAATTTTCTGGAGTTTAATATTAAAGATTGTCCTATTATAATTTCTATACATACTTTGCATTTATACAAAACGATACACCCTAATGCAGCTATACAGATTGGGCGACAAATTGACTGCCCCGGTTGAAATTACAGTAGTCACAAAAATATATCTTATCTGGCGCCACGAAAATCGATACGGACAAAGCAAAAGCAACACCCTCAACGAATGACCCTCCTCCACAAACTCACTTTCCCCCTTTCTCTTCTATTTTACCCCACACTCTATAACTGACCTACCCCGCTCAATGTTATTTGCCAATCCAAATATAGATAGCAGCACAATGTCGTTAAATCAAGTGGCGAACACTCTTTAAAGTTTCCTTTTGGGCGCTGGGGATAAATGGGTTTTTAATTGAGTTTCTCGACGGATGGGACTTGTTTGGTAAAGTCTTTCATTTAAAGTTGATAACTTGCCATTTAAATTCGTAGGATCAGTATTCATTTTGTAGGTAAAATAAAATCTTAATAGATTTTTGTATTTAATAACGATTTCAATAGCGTGGGAAAATGAACAGAAGCCAAAAAGTTAACCAGACAATTACTTTAATCTGATTTTTCAGACTCGTAAATAAATATACATATATGTATAACCAGGGTACATATATGATATACGTGTACAAACAACTCGGCTCATGTTTATTGTTGTTTCATTGCATGCAAATTTTCTCGCCTGCCGCATGCAAAATTTCTGTATGCAAACACGAAAGTAAAAGGGGAAAACAATAACAAGAACTGGGAAAATGCAAAAATGCTGAAATTAAGAAAAGGAATGAGAACTGTGTCAGATTTCAAAAAATTCAGGTGATGCTTATGCACCCAGAAAAATTGAGAACGAAAAAAATCAACATCGACCGATCTTGATTTTAGTATTCGTATTCTCACTTTTTTCTTCTTGATATCAAGATGAAAGCAGTGTTGATTCTAGTATTCCCAGTCAAAGTCAATCTCAGTTTTTATGTTGTGGACGAGGGACGTGAGGAAAAGACATCGAAAAAATGAGAGGAAAAGGGCGGAGAGGCCGAATTCCTCTCTTGTAGCTATCGGGCAGTCATGCTTCATGATATCGGTAGCCTAGGGGACTAAAGCGTGCGGATTATATGTTTTGTAAGCGCATAGTCGGAAGTGTGTGTTCAGTCCCGCGTCGAGGCGGAAATTCTTTGCGTTTTTTTTTTTTTTTACTCATTAATATTTATATTTAATACAAATTAGGATTTTGTTAATCTAACACACATAAATGGCTTAATAAGAGTAAAAACCAAGAACCCAAGAGAACAAAATGTGATTAAACTTTGTACAGCGCCTCATGTGATGCTTCCATGGCGCAGCTGGTAGAGTGTTTGACTGCAAACTGTGAGGCAACGGGTTCGATTCCCACGACCGACCAAAGGTGTTTTTCCCAAGATAGTAAGTTATTTGAATTTTATATTTATCATTTGTTAATTATAACTAAATGTGTTCTTATATACGAACATAGTATAGTGTGACGTCATCCATGTGTTTAAATAAAGGAAAGAAAAATAAGTTGAGAAACGGGGGGAACCAACAACAACACCGACGGGGACAGGAGGGGGTGCAAGAGGCAAAATTCCCGATTCCTCAATTATTTTTTTTCTTCTTCTTATTCAATTTGTATCTTAAAATCGACATCGATTCGATGTTGAAACCGAGAAGACGTCATCTCGATATCGATAGCACACATACTCAAAAACCATTCTCAAAACCGAGATGACATCGATGTTGATTTTAGTATTTTCGATCTCGGCTAGGTTTTGTGATCGAAAATACTAAAATCAACATCGATGAGAACGGTTTTTTTTCTCGGTGTGGTTGTTACTTTCCTTTCGCGCGTATTTATTGATTTTTGTTCATGACGACATTTTAGCCGTGCATTTCAAATGAAATGCAAAAAGTAATGGCGGGAAACATTTAAATACACCTA